AAAAAAAAACACGTTCTATCTGAAGTTGTTGGGAAAATGATCATATAAAAAACTTTTACGTCAACGAAATACTTTTCTTCGAATCAAATAATCACAGTACTGTAAAATCCACCGACAAATTCTTAATTGCGAACTTCAGTTCAATATAAATAAGCTTTTCCTCTAACAAATCCATCAATTCCAAAAAATCACTTAATGAATCAAAAAGTTACTAATTGATAAGCGTCTCTTTCTTTACAACTGTGACTGGAGGTGTATCTCCACTTTTACTGATCCACTTGATTTTCACTTGTTTCGTTCGGCTTCGGTTCTCTGTATCGTTATCGTTTTTTCCTTTGCCTGTTTCATTAACCTCCTCAATTTCCTCCTCCACGACTATATACTCGCCATGCTGCTGAGTGCCGTTCGGGAAGATGTACGTACCAGGGCCGATCATTTTGTCGTCGTAAAAGTTGCCGATGTAGTTTTGTTTTCCGAAAGTCAATTTTCCCCTTCCTGCAAAAAAATTAATAAAGAATACGAAAGTTTTGTCTAATTGCCGTGTGCGAGATCCGTGCGTCATCACCTTAAGCCAAATATTTTTCCGTCCGGTCCTCCCTCTGTCGATTTGTACATAGTATTTAGAAATAAACATCGCGATAACCAAAAGAAATTTGTTCCTCATAGCAGAAATAAGTTGGGAAGAAAGAAATCAGTTTGGGGAATTTTGTTTTTTAACTCTTTCACTCACGAGATCTGGGTGTTAATTCTTCCCTCTCGCTGCTACTCATTTCCTCGTTATTTACCTACCAGAATTTGGTGTTAGATCAAGATAGTAAGCTCTACTTGACAAGTTTGAGTATTCTCATAACTTGTTTACTGAACAATGTATGGATATTATAGGGAGAAGTTACATGTGAATCACTGGGAGTTAAAGGGTTAATCAAAACCATTTTCTCAAGGCTAAAATTTTGAGAATAAGATAGAGAATTGTAATGGGTTCTTCGCTGGTGAGTAGTGAGGAGAATTGATATTCGATCTTGTAGGAAGCTTTCTCATTATTTGATTTCTTCGGTGTTCGTTTACATTACCAAAGTATTTTGGTAAGGTTTTTTCTTTGGTTCAAGGTAGTTTTCTACTTAAAAAAGCAACTGAGAAATATCTTTGATACCTGCAGCTCTTCCCACGCAACTAAGTAAACGGCAAGGCGACCGACAACAGCGATAGAATTTACAAATGAAAATGGAAAACGAAGCCATAAAATTTTGGATAAAACCTCTATAGCTTGCAAATTTGCCTTCCATTGCGTTACGGTGCTGATAGAAAATTTTTCCGTCCTAGGATAACGAAATTCTATAAGTATTGCAAAGGAAAGAGAGCCTAGAAAATTTTTCTTTTTTTTTTCAGAAGTCTGGCTGAATTTATTCCGTCTTAAGTTTTGTGAAATTAAAATTATGCTGTTTTTAAAGACATTTTTAATGAGATGAGAGTGGGAGTTGTAAATGGAAGTGGATATTTTACGAAATTCGCTTAAGCCACAGAGAATTGAAACGTTACAGTGACGACCAGATTAATTGTTATTGTAGTAAATCCATTTTTTTTTCCGTTTGTGAGTTTTAAAACGCAATGGTCTACTTCAGCTTATCTCAGCTTCAATGCACAAGGGTGTAATTGTTTCCATTTATTCTATATTATGACTGGGTGATAGTTTGAGTTTTAATTTAACTCTCAGTCGTATTTTTGACATTTTGTATTGACTAAAACCTGCTCTTCATGTATGTTAAAAAAACCTCTTTAACCTCATACTGAATAATGATCAAAACTCATTTTGGTCGTGGCGAAGCTCGTTGTGATACGCATTTGCAATTTTTAGTTTAAAAGTATATTTTGCCTTCAAAAGTTTTGCCCCTTGTTATGATAGCCATTCTTCAAATTTATTCCGTAATTTAATACATTAATTTTCGGTTCTTTGATCGCAAAGCGCTCATTTGCATTCGTCGATTTGCCATCAGACAACTTGTTTAGTTTCTGATGTAAAACTGTCTCCATTATATATGCACCAATGTTTGTTTTTACCAGTTCCAGTTTGTTTTTTAAAGTATAAAAACTCGCCAGCGACAACTTTCAGCTTTGTATCTGTTTTTTCTTTGTGTTCGTACGATTTGTCGGCTTTAATTTATTTATGTCCAGCACGTTTTCCTTTCTTAATATTTAATGGGCATGTGAAAGCTCCTAGCAACCCTTTCTTCAAAAATTTCTTTTATAAGGCGAATATCGAGAGAAATGTTACTTTTTAATCGTGTGCCAAGACGTGATTATCATCAAATTATCTCTTCAAGATCGTTCCATAAATAGAGTTTTTTTTACATAGTTTACGATCGTCAAAAATTCTGATCGTCAAACTGTTTGCCCAAACTGAGTGATCCGCCATCTTCGAGCTGAGGTGCAAATTGTGATCGAAGTGATTCAAACTGGTGATATTACGGTTAACGTATTCAAAAGCAAAGCCTTATTACAAGACCGTTTCGACTTCTTTGTTTTGTGTTCGTCTTCAATATTTTACACTAAGTACGCAATTATTATTTTTGTACCAAAAAACATCTTGAAAAAGCTAACCTGATCTTTTTCCTTCGAACCACTGTCCTTCGTATGACATTCCACTCGCCGCGTATGTATACGTCCCTTGTCCGTGTCTTCGGTCGTATTCCCATTCGCCTCGATACAAATCGCCATTGGTATAAAAATAAGACCCAAATCCATGCCTGAGATCGTCTCTCCAGCTTCCCTCATACTTCGCTCCATCAGGATACAAAAAAGTCCCTTGTCCGTTTTTCTTGTTGTTTTCGTAATGCCCCATATAACACGCGTTTCGCGACTTGCCCTTGAGCTTTCTAAAGACATATTTACCATAGCCATTTCTGTACCCGTGCTTATACTGTCCTTCGTATATATCGCCATTGGGCAGCCTTGCTTTCCCCTTTCCGTGCCGTTCGCCGTTTTCGTTCCGATCTCCTTCGTACGTATACGGTAACACCTCGTTTTCGGAGTCCATCTCCTCGTCAGATTCGCGTAACGTTTCCATGCCACCAAAATTTCAAATAAAAAAGCCGATTTGTTTTATTCAAACTCACAAGAATTAAAAGATGCGTTGAGAATTTTTTAATCTTCCGTGTGGTGGAAACTACTCGCTTTTCTCGAGAATAAATCAAATTAAGTGATATTTTGTCGCGCAGATCAAAACTTCAAATATACTGTGACACCGAAATGCTCGCCTTAAACTTCCCCCACAGATAGACCGCCAGATAATTTTAATTTTTAACCGCGTGTTTTTAGTTTGCTCTGAAAGCGTCTATTCGTGGATAAAAAAAAGAAAACCTCTACACGAATCACGTTAATATTTTAAAGATGTCTTTTGTGATTGTGTTGGAGATACTTTCGCTTTAGAACAGGGTGATGTATTTAAATCATTCCTGAATATTTCAATTGGTGCTTCACTCGCAAACATGGCCAGACACTCAGAAAACATAATCGTGCTTCTGAATTATTAATTGGCTGGGAAATTTTTTGCGGTAGTATTTCCAAATTATCTAAAATATGCAAAACAGGGGAATTGCCGGCTAACTGCTGCGAAAGATATCGCTTGGGGCAGTTGTTTTTCTTTTTCTGCGATAGCTACTATATCATTACATCGTTTAAACCCTTTTGTTGTGAGGAAGGAAGACTATAGCGATTAAAATCCTGACGCTGATGGGAAAAAATTTAGTGCCATAGTTTTTCCAAAAATAAAGTGATAAGGAACATACACATTCAAATTGGCCGCATATTTTTTTTTATCACGCAGGTTTGCTCAATGCACCTTTTTCATTCAATGTAGTTCTCTCAATTAAACTGAAGCGAGAACACTAAACAATTTGGAAACATATTTTTTTGTTTAAGTTACAGTTCGTCCATTTCAATTTTGTGTTTCATTTTTTTTTGTTTCAGTTTGAGAATTTTCTTCCGCAAGGTTGATGTACTTAATCAAAATAATCTTTATGCCTCAAGTTCAGTGTTTTGCACCGCGTCATTAATATTACATACTTTTTAAAAGGAGATAATTTTTATTTTGATTTCCTTTGATTCCCAATAAAATTTAAAATAGAGAATGTTTCTGCTTTAAAAATATAGTCGTCACAAATTTATAGAGGTACAAAAGTATCGTGCAGTCCTTTTTAAACATGGAGGCTGATGCCTTCTCCAAGAAAAGAGAATCCGAAGGAAAAATTTTCTTAAGTTTGATTTCGTTCATGATCGATGAATGATTGTAATTGAGTTCATAAATATCCTGAATACCTCGTTAACCTCCTGAACTCTAATATCAGTTCATATATTCTTCACACTGTTCGCTTTACATTTCCTTTGGTACGGATTAGGAGAATTTGTTTCACAATCAAAGCTGCTAAGGTTGACGATCATTTCCTTTATTCTCATGATCTTAATGAATGATTCAGCAGTGTTACTGTAAGGAGAAATTAGATGCTGGTCACTCTAACGATTTTAAGGTTTGATTGTATACGCTTCTTGAACACAGGTGCTTCGGTAAACTTTACGATCAAATTTCTAGTAACTGGCCTCCTTATTATCTCAATCGATAAATTCAATTTATCAGTCCTAGTATAAAAGATCAGTAAATTTTCTTCGAAGGGGTACTCTGCGGTGCACCTTTAAATTTCAGGAACGTTTTATCAATACAAGTTTTCATTTGTGGTCAGTTTAAGAAGATATGGTCTTACGTTAACGAAGCTTGGAAAAGCAGCAGTTGAACATCAGCTTGGAATTTATTTCCGTGAAATTAACTGTCATAGCTTGTTTGCGTGCCATCTTTTTTCAATTTTTTTCACACTGATTACAAAACCGTAATCAACGTTGAAGATGGCTCCAAATGGTTTCATTACCTTTAATCACCAGTTCTCTGTGTTCGAAGCCACCTTTTTTGTGTTTGTTTCCTTAAAGTTTAGGTCAAGAAAGGGTTAATTATTTCTCAGCAAGTTGTGACCATTAAACTTACAATTTAGGTTACCATAGCAACACTACAACAGACACCCCTATTTTTCTCTTTGTGTGCTTGTAAATCAATATTAAGCTCATTGATTCCCATCTTTTATCTCTGAATTGAAATCAACATATCAATATTCAATAGAGGGGGTAAGTTTCTAAAGAAACTGTGGTGCTGCGTCGGTGGGAGAGTATAACAGGGTAATTTAGCGCAATCAACTGAGTTGATAACGTAAATTGACCACCGTAAAGAGTTTAAAGAGTTTAAAGGCAGTCGTTTCGAGCGTTAACCCTTTGTGAGAGCGATTGACGAAGGACTAGCGCTCGAAACGTGAACCTTTAAACTCTTTACGGTGGTCAATTTACGTTTTCAACTTAGATGATAACACCAAAATTACCTTATCAATATTCATCTTTCTGCCAAGTTTGAAAAATAATCTATACATACAATTCAGAGCCCCCTCAACCTCTAGGTTGGACCTTTTACTCTTTGGCCGGTACGAGCGGGCATCTAATTTCTCCTCACAATATCAACCCTGAATCGTATATTAAAGTCACGAGAGCAAAGCTAATGATCAACTAAAGAAGCTCTTGATTGTTAAACAAATTC